GCGCTTTCGTCTTTATACAGGGTGTGCAAAAAAAAAAGGCCACAGTTTGGGTCGAAATAACTCGCGAACGGTAGAGAATCGAAGGTGCGTTACCATGCCAGAATGCTTAAATATGCTGGGCATGAAGATTTAACACAACTTGATTTTTTTCGATTTTTGGCTACGTACCCATACAAATGACACCCGAAAACTGTGCGTTCGGGAAAATTCATTTGTATTTTTCTCAGTTTCCTGTGGAGGCTGGCATCTAATTTTTATTAAGTAAGTTAATACAGGCAGCAGATATGTAACTACGAAATTTAAGAATTTTTGAGGGTCTGGTTGAAAAGTTAGAGAGGAATGAAATTTTGTATGGAGAAATTTCGTAAATTTTTAATATTGAAAAAACCTATGGCGAAAACCTCAAAATCAGTTGTTGTGGAATACCTACGAGCCCGTTACAATCGCATAAAAATTGTAAAAAAGTTTTTGAGATCGATGAATTTTCGCGTTTTTCAACGACCCCCTGGTCATGGATTTTTCGAGGTCTCGAAACCCAACTTTGGAAAAATATTTCTAGATTACCAAAGGGGCCTCAGCTGTTTTCTTTGCTTAGCTATGTAGTTCTGGAGTTGAGCTATCATCTACGAAATTGCGAGCCACCGTACCTCTTTGGAAGGGCGTCTTTTAGGGCCTCCAAAACGGTTCGTTCGTGCTTTTTCCGAATATTGTCACCATTTTATAAAATTTAGTCGCGCTGTGAAAATTTTCGTTTTATTTTTATCTGATATAATTTGCATAGCGCATCCTAAAGCCTTATTCATGAATTTTTTTTAGCCAGCCGTTGGCGCCAAGAAAATTCATCAAAACCCGAAATAAACCGAATTGGAGGTAGCGTAAAAAGATTTTGGAAGGTGGAGTCGTAGGGATATTTTGAGAAATAAATCAGTGCCATCAGTTGAATAAAACTATGCAAAGATTAAAGCAATTTCGCGTCGCAAAAATTTTAAGAAGATTTCTAAACTTCGATTTTGGGATAAGGTGATTTTCGATTTTGAGCTGAAAGTCACCATAATTTTGAATCAGATTGCCTCAAATTTGACGAGCGTAGATAATAACATCAAAGCTATAATAGTATCCATAAGATGCAGGTGGTTTTTTTATTTTTAAAAATTCAAAAATTGACCCCGGCTATTCGGACCAAAAATCGGCTCTCTGGTCTTGTTTTGCACTATGCCTCGTAACTTTGTTATTTACCACCCAAAATCGGTAATTTTAACAGGTTATCTTACAATCAACTCTAGAAGGTCCTCGAATAGAAAAATCGTCACTTTATGGAATTTTGTGATGGCATGCTAAAACGCGCTCCACGGGGGTTACTGTAGAAAACCGAAATTCGCGATTTTCATGGTGTTTTTGCCATGGAATCGCTTCAATCTTTTCGTAAAAGCAATAGTAGCAGTTTTGGACCAATTCACCAAAAATTTACAAAATTCTGCCGCAGAATTAAAAAATCTGTTTTTAGTCTTTTCATGAAAGTTTGTGGATAGTACGCCCCTCGTATTTGGCAGTAAGGTGCCCCTACTTATTGCCTAACAACCCAGAAAATTTTAGCCGAATCGAAGCTAGGGGCCCTGAGAAAAGCCGGAAAAACGAAACCTACAGTGCCCCGCTGGGGCACGTTTTTAGCAAGCAATACAAAAATACCATAGATTGTGGTGGAATCTGGTGTGGAATCCGAGATTAATATTTGGATAGGTCATTGACAAAATATCAGCTATAGGCAGCGAGTTATAAGCGAGTTATAACTCAAAGAACAAAAATAACGCAAAATCGCGAAAATTGTTTTGCTTTTAAAAAATGAAATTGACCTCGATAAATTCTAAGATTTTGCCATTACATTTTTACAAATTTATACTATTTTTAGGCCAAAAAATCAGAATTTTCCCACCTCCCGTTCAAGAACGCACAATTTTCGGTCGTAACCAGCGTCAATAGTACAGTTTCGTACTCAAAAATCGAAAAAATCAAGTTGTGTTAAATCTTCATGCCCAGCATATTTAAGCATTCTGGCATGGTAACGCACCTTCGATTCTCTACCGTTCGCGAGTTATTTCGACCCAAACTGTGGCCTTTTTTTTTTGCACACCCTGTATAGTAAAGTCCCGTACTATTGCCCCAACGACACGACTCTGTGCAAATAACTCCAATTCCGTCCGTCGATTGTTCGAATCCGGAAAACAGTGTAGGAATTTTTGCGCAGCTGCCCAAAGTAAAATCGTAAAGCCAAGGCTAATTTTTTGGGTTCCACAAAAGCGAGAGAGCGAGTGAGAGACACAGAGAGCGAGTGGGAGAGAGGGATAGTAAGCTTCTTTTGGTTTAAGTCGGACTTCTTCACGTGCTAAGGCTGGGCTTATGCTCCGGCTCAGGTTTAGGCTTAGGCTTAGCTTAGGCTTAGGCTTGGCTTGGCTTTAGCTTAGGCTTTGGCTTAGGTTTAGCCTCCGGCTTTGACTTTTGTTGCCGTACCAAAATACATACAGTAATCTAACAAAAACCCGTAAAAGGAAGTCAAGAAGATCGCTTCCAAACCGCCGTGGGAACATCAATGTTCGTCTTCAAGCGATTCCCGAGGGCCCAAATATCCGGTTTTCCGATCGTCTCCCCCTTATAATGCCCCATGTTTACCGTACCCCCGTCCCCTTCCCCTCCCCCGTCTATAGGAATGGGGCGTATTGTGAAGGTGTTGTGTGTATGTCTACATTTGGGTTGACGCCTCTTAGAATCGCTCCACGCGCTCCGGGATCAACGGCAAAATCAAAGGCCCCTTTTTTGGGGGGTGGCACAGCTACACAATGATACTATAGACATTGGCACGTCACTTCTAACCCTGTCCCCCGACAATGCATTAATGGCTCCGACTTTTTTATGGCGGGAAAGGGCGGGTCGGGAAAAGTCACGGCATTTTAAAGGGATTGGGAAGTGGACCAAAAAGATCGCGAGGGGAAATCTAAGGCTAGCTTAGCTTGAGAAAAGCCAAATGGAGCCTAGAACAAAGTCATGCCTAAGCTAAGCCCTAAACCGAACCCAGGTCTAAGCCAAGGCTGAGCTTAAGCCCAAGCTAAGTCTAAGCCTAAGCCTAAGCCAAACCTAAGTCAAACCTAGGCCAAGCCCTAGCCAAGCCTAAGCCAAGTCTAAGTCAAGCTTAAGCCAAAGTCCTAAGCCGAAGTCTAAGTCTATGCATATGTCTACCCTAAGCATAAGCCTAAGCTAAGCTTACGCTAAGTCTAAGCTTTCAGTTTTTAATTTATTTTTCATTTTCGCGTGGTCCGGGAGAGAGGCTTCCCTTTCGTGAATTTTTAGATGGCCGATCCAGTCAGTCAGGTGTCTCTCTGAGTTTGCAATGGCTTCACTACCCCAACAAATCATCCCCTCTTCCTGGTGTTTTTGTTGATTGGCCACCCCATTTTTGATTCGCCTAATCGCGTTACGGTAGTCGGGGCAACCTTTAAGGGTTAAGTTTTAGAGGGTTTTTGGATGTTCGCAACCCGGTAGTGCCTCAGTTTTCAGCGACAGCGCATTTTTCGCATAATGGGAGATTTGGGATTCTGCCGAAAACTCGACTAGTGGGCCAACCTCTTCTATAAATTCAGAATCGGCTTGGCGTAGGTTTGGCTTAGGGTGGGCTTGGCTGAATATTAGCGTAGGATCGGCTTAGGATTGGGCTTGGCTTAGGCTTACGCTTGGCTTAGGTATGACTGAAGCGTCCTCAGGCTTGGGCTAAGCTTGCTGTGACTTGGCTGACGCTTGGCTTAGCTCCTGGTTAGCGGTCTCCTCAAGAATCCCCCGCAGCTTGCCTGTCTCGTCCATAGATTTTAAAGGGACGGTGACACCAGACACTCAACATCCAACACCAACCTTCGCCATTTCCAAGTTCACACGCCAAAATCTGCTCTCTTAACTTTCATCGGCACCGGATTTAGAGACTCATGTTTTGGCTAAAAATCCATCCCCCTCAAATCAACCCGCCTAAATCCGCCATTCAAATTTTGTGGCTTCCGGCTCCGGGGAACTACCGTACCTTTCTGGGCCGACCCAAAAAAGGGGATTTGTGCCTCGGCTGAATTTGGAGAAGATTAAACTCTCGCCCCACTTTCATCACCGCATCCCTAGGGAGACTTTTTGGCGGGGTGAAATTAGCCTAGAAGCAACCTTTTTGCGTATTTTCGAGGGTTATCGGGCGACTACAAGCCGTTCAGCTGCCTGCGAATCTGTTATTTTTGTCTTTTCACCTTCAACAACAATAAATTAGACAATTTAGGGAAAATTGACAATTTTTGCCTATTTTTGAGCGGCTACATGGAGGCTATTTAGGGTTGGAAAGGGGGATGGCAATCGAGATCTCTGAATTAAAAATTCTGACTTTGAGCCTGAAAATTTTAGGATCTTTCTGATATGAATTTACCTATTTTTTTTAAGGAACGGGCAAAGGAGGGTCTGCCTTTCCGTGGTTATAAATTCCGTAGGGATTTTTCCGCAGTTTTTTTTCGCATTTTCCCGTAAATTATGCATGATGATGTTGTAAATGATACTCAAACTTCCGCCTGGCGCCACTATCCATAGAATTCAGAGCGCTTGCTTGTCCCTTTAAACGCTCTGAATTGTACAAATCACTTTTCTCTTGAATTTTTATCCTTTATCAGCCAGAAACCCGACGATGGACCCGCAGGAAGTGATGGAGAATTCGGTGAGCACCTTCGTCAGAAATGGGACCGGCGAGTACGCCAACTACACCGATCTGTAGGTTCTTACGGTATAATTTGGACAATTTCTGAGTTTTTGGTGAGGTAGGCGCTCGAAAAATCAAAATGCCAGAGCTTACAAGTGCCTTTAAAAGGAAAGCGCCACTCGAAAATTCGTTAGTGATGAAAACCGTGCTCCCGCCACGCGACACGCAACGCGAACCCCCCTTGTCCGTCTCTTAAAATGTTAAATATTCCAAAACACACCAAGCCCACGCTTTCGGTCGGACCGGCAAATCCGGCTGGGAATCGGCCGTAAAAATGGGCGTGCGAACGGTATCGGCTGCAAAGTTACAGCGCAACAGTCATTTCGGCTAATGAGCGGTTTGCCGGTCGGTTCTGGCTCATTCAAGTCGTCATATTTCATCTACTACTCGCATCAGAAACCATAGTTGCTCTATGCCACGCTACGATACAATTTCAATACCTTATTTTACGTGAGGATACGCTGAGATACGTTATGATACAACTTACGATAGGCTATGATCAGTAAGGATACATTTCAATACTCTAGGATCGCTCGGAGGAGTGGCTGTATACGCTACGCTACAATACGGTAGAGCAAGAATAAGATATGCTACGGTACCTCAAAAGATTGCGCATTACGAAATTTTACGATAACATTGCGCTGCGTTACCGGTATATAAGGCTACGTTAGGAAACTAGAACACGCTATGGGAAGTTTACTTATCTGTCGCGATACGCTAACGTACGGTAGGTTACGATTATCGGACGCGTTTTTGAAAACTTCAAGCCATAGCTTTTCCTTTCATTCTAAATCATGGTCGCTTAAAATTAATGACTCTCTCATTTTGATGAGAGAGAGAGAGAGGAAGAGGGGGAGAGAGAGAGAAAGAGAAAGAGAGAAAGAGAGAATGCACTTTCCCCGATTGCTCATCACCAAGGCAGAAACGTTGCAACTCAAAAAGTTGCCACCCAATTTAGGGGAGGGGAATGGCGGGCGGGGGAGGAATTTCGGCTCGTTTCTCACGCATTTTAATGGAAGCTAGAATTTTGCTGTATTTTCCGTTTCTCCATCGTTCTCTCTCTCTCTCTCTCTCTCTCTCTCTCTCTCTCTCTCTCTCGCTCTCGCTCTGGTCTAGATATTCTCTAGCTGCATTCCCATAGAAGTTCTGATAGCCCACCTTCGTAGAAAAACTAATCAAATTTAGTATCCTAAACCCTAAAAAATATACGATTCTGCCGTTGTTGATTTCCTGCCGCTTTTCATATACATCAAAGATCTCAGCATAAAGAAAATGAGCTCCAGCTCAATCTTCAAAACCGTAAGCTATCGATTTCGCTCGCGAGTAGACGGCTTGGCGGCTTCAACCACTCTATCTTTTGTTACTTTAGTGAAAATTATAAAAATCCTTGGCGCCCATTTCCGGTGCTCCCTTTCAATTTTCAATTTCCGATGGCTTTTTGTGGGCTGGGAGGGGGGTTCTCGACCACCTTTACTTCGACGTCACGATCACTTGATGGAGATCGCGCATAGTTTTCCGGTGGTTGGCCTTGAGAACATTTTGAAGATGGAAGATTTTCACCTTGATTATTTGCAGGTTGTTAAAGAGATGAGGACGGCATCTGTTGAACCCCCCTTGGGGAGGGGGGGTTCAACAGGTCCCAGCGCGACCGGCGGCGAGAGAGGGCGCCCAGGGGCGAGGCGCAGAGACATTTTCTTTCCCGGGCGTAATCGATTGACCTATGCCGCCCCTATCGCTTTAAAGGGCTAGTTCAACTGTTAGAGCTTGGGCTGGTACCTTGGGAAACTATGGACGTAGGCACAGTGCGCCCCAACAGTCCCCCATTACGACGGCTATTAGAGATCGAGGAAATGAGAGAGGCGCAGACACAAAAACGCAGAGAGGGTTCGACTCCTGGCCGCGGAAATTCTTTTGTTTTATTGGCTGAACTAGCCCTTTAAGGATTGATTTTCATATGTCCACTTCATACAAGATGTCGAAGCCTCGGCCTAAGCTAAGTCAGGCCTAAGGCAAAGCCTAAGCCTAAGCCTAAGCCTGAGCCTAAGTCTAAGCCCAAACCTAAGCCTAAGTCTGAGTCTAAGCCTATTCTTAAACCCAACAATCAGCCAAGCCCTATCGTTGGCACTAATTTTAAGCATTTGTGATT